ATGAAGGACATATTTGTAAATTGCACTATCATTCATATTCTTCCTCAACTTTACTTATGCACATCCATGGATCTCTTCTTCCTCCTTCCTTCACCCACCTCCATTACAAGCGTCTGTTTCTTCCTTCCACACCTTCATCATCATCTTATTCTTCTTCAAGCTATTTCAATGACTTCTCCAACACCAACATCGACATCACCATACGCCGCTGAATTAAACAAAAACCCTAATTGAAAAAAGGAGGAATATAGGGTATGGTTAATCCTTAGAGGGTAGGTGAGCTTTCCTCCTCCATTGAAGCAAAGTTTTGTTTTGCTTTTTGTTTTTTGTTTTTTTTTTTTGGAAAAATTGCTCCCATTAATCTGAACTTTGGCTCGGCCGCCGAAAATAATCCCAACTTTCGTTTATTATCTATTGGACCGAACTTTGGGGGGTATTAATTTTCGTTGCACCCAAATGACTTGCAACCGGTTGAAGAGGTCAATTTTGCTGACTTGTGATTAGTTGCACATGTGTCGCAACCTAATTGGTAAAAAAAAAATTAAAGATTAAAAATAAATAAATTTAAAGATTTAAAAAAAAAAAAAAACCAACACCCCGCACCCACCCACCCACAGCCAGCCAGCCAGCCAACACTTTCCCCGTAGCACCGACCACCGCCCAGGCCCCCTTCCCCTAGAGCGTCGGTCGCCGCCCAGTCATGCATCCCCACTCCTAGTGTCGGCAACGCCCGACCACCCTCCCCTTTCCCTTTAAAATTTGCCGCTGAAACAACCACCAAAAAAACGCTGCAACCCCTATTTCTCTGTGAATACGACCACCGAAATGGTCGAAATCGGCCGAGTTTTAGGCTGGATGGTTGGGTTTAACCCAAAATCGGCCGATTCGGCCGATCGTGGCTAATTTCATTAGCGGTGGCTGGGCGGTGGCTAATTTCGAGATTTGGGGAAGGGAAGGGGTTTTCGAGGGTGGGGGAAGGGAAGGGGTGGGTTTCGAGGGAGGGGGAAGGCTCAGCGGCGGATTCCGACAGCAGGGGAGGGGTTTTCGGGAATGGGGCTTGTTTTTCGGCGGGTTGGGGGTGGGGATGTGGTGGCAGCAGCTGAGCATGGGGTGGTTTGTGGGGTTTTTGTTTTTTATTCTTGTTTTGTTTTTTGTTTTATGTTTTTTTTTTAAAAATTTTTTTACGCCAATCATACGCTGACACGTGACTAGGTAACCTGCTACATCAGGTTAGATGACCCGTTGGGTGCAACGAAAATTAATACCCCCCAAAGTTTGGTGCAATAGATAATAAACTAAAGTTGGGATTATTTTCGGCGGACGAGCCAAAGTTCAGATTAATGGGAGCAATTTTTCCTTTTTTTTTTCTTTTCTTTTTTCTCCTGAGATTACTTATTATGAGCTTTTGTTCGTCATTGATGATGAAGCAAGAAGTTGAGAACTAAATCACTGCTTTTTTTTGCACAAATACCAAAGCAATTTAATTACCCAATTGTCACTAGATAAACATTTTTTGTTTATCTAGGAGATAAACTTGAATTTTCTCATATTTATTTTTACTTCTTTGTTTTTTTTTTTAAAAAAAAATCCTTATTTTCATGCTACATTAGTATATTATAATTTTTTTTAAAGATAATTGTGTTATTATATTATACTCCATATTTTATATTATATTAATATTATGGATTTATGAGTGACTATTCTAAATATAATTACTCTCAATTAAGAGTACTCCATATTGTATGGTTTGCTTAAATTTTTGCTCTTCCTCAAAATTATTTAAATCTAAATAGCATTGCAATTAATAGTTATGTTTTTTTTATTTTTCTCATATGAGATACATATATCAAATATATTTAATTCAAAGAAATTTTTATAAATTGTGCATCGCACGGGGCTAATCTAGTTTGCACTGATATAGCTTCCAAAATCTAACAAACTAATTGTGTGCATTTCTTCTAACACTTCATTCTCATCCCATTTTTTAGGGGTGGGGGGGGGGGGGACAGTGTGTGTATCATTATAACTTTTTTTTTTTATCAATTTTTTCATGGTAAAAACAAATTAAATTGTTAAGAATATTAGGAGGTTGTTTATTATATAATCCTATACTTTGGTTAAGGTAGTTTCCTTGATTATAGGCTACAACTAGGTTAGATCCCGTGTCATGCACGTTGATTTTTTTTTATTGATTGAGAAATATTATAATCATAAAATAGTCAAGAAATAATAAAAGTATTTGATATTTGCAATTTTAATTGTAGCTTCCAATACACAACTAAAACAAAGTAGAAAAAAATCTTTATTGTAAAATAGGTCACTAATTATTTAAAAATATTGATTTTTGGTATATATTGCCCAATTTTTATTAGAAAGATTTGCGAATAAATCTTTTATTTTAAATATAATAAGTATTACGTGTCAATATGGAATATGTACAAAATAAAATGATTTTTGTAAATGATTTGTTTCCCTGATTAAAATATTTTTTAAAAAGAAAAAAATAATTAAGGACACACCAGGAGATGACACGTGTCATCGCTGGTGTGTCTTTTAGTATATAGTATTGATTATTTAAAAATATTGATTTTTGGTATATATTGCCCAATTTTTATTAGAAAGATTTGCGAATAAATCTTTTATTTTAAATATAATAAGTATTACGTGTCAATATGGAATATGTACAAAATAAAATGATTTTTGTAAATGATTTGTTTCCCTGATTAAAATATTTTTTAAAAAGAAAAAAATAATTAAGGACACACCAGGAGATGACACGTGTCATCGCTGGTGTGCCTTTTAGTATATAGTATTGATTGATGATGATGATTGATTGTTACAAGATAATTATATATCTAGCATATCTTTTGATTTTATCTCGTGTATTTTAGGGAAACTATTGTATTCTATATATGATTGAATAAATGAGAATAAGGGTAAGCTTTGAGTCCTTACCGATTTCTACGTGATATCAGTTGCTTAGGAATTTAAAAATTGAAAAAAACCCAAACTATATATATATCACTATCACCATGGTTGGTGACGATATGCCGCCGCCTCCTAGCTCCACCACGCATAGACACCTTTCTGTATTAACTTGGTCCTCACGACTGTCCCGGAGACTTAACTACTCCGACCTACCTTCGTGGTGAAAATTATGATGAGTGGGTCGGTGATATTTAAACCATGTTGGAGGCACACCGTAAATTTGTACCATTTAGTTTTGATTTTAATATGATAAATATGCCTTCGGTGCATTACCGTGGGCAACTATAGTTGGAAATAGTTTGGAAGATTTTCTATATCGTAAACTAGGTTAGAACCCATGCGATCACGGTTTATATAAAACATATTTTTAATTTGTACATTTTAAAAATAATTTGCAATTATACATGAATATAAATAAGAATTACGTATGTTTTGTAATTTTAAAATTTTTTATTTTCATCAAAATTATGATATAGTATCTGTTCAACGTTGTCTAATTCATAGTTCAATGTATGAGGTCATTTATTAGTGTGCTATTTAAAATTGTTTCAATTTTCTACGATAAATTGATAAGTTTTAGTTGTAATGTAGAAGCTTCCAATATTTAAATTTCAAAAAAGTTTAATGTGATAGCTCAAAAAAAAAAAAGAATAAAAAAAAAAAATGACATTGATCATCATTGCATTTAGGTGGAAATTTTTTTATTAAGAAAACAACACGTGGCCAATGGCGACGTTAGCATCTTCTGTTTTGGTAATAATTAATAGATAGTTATAAAATTTCAAACATAAACAATTACACAATGTAGAGGGATTGTATCAATCAATCGAATACTAGAAGAGTTAAGCCCCGTTCTCTTCACCTTATTTTTGCTGAACTGAAATTATTTTTATCAATTCACTATTATATTTCTTCTTTATTGTTACTGAATTATATTAAACTGAAATTATTTTTATTGAACTAAAATTATTTTTACTAAACTGAAATTATCTAGGGTCTTAACTATCTAATTTTCAATCACGCCTTTAAAACTTTCCAATTTTCTTAATTTATATACTATAAACTCTTTTTTTTTTTTTTTTTAGAGTTGTTTTTCCCTCTTCAAAATAAATCACAAAACTTCCACTTCCTACTATAATGAAAATCATTTCTAAACTTAGGTCTTTGTCATGCATTAGCACATATATACTCTAATAAATTACGTTTCAATCCATTTTTATAAGTTCAGATAATTTAAATTCTAAGAATATAAACAGAACACACTAGAAAAGGTTTTTTGTAAAAAAAAAAGGTCGAACCAAACATACTATGTGCCCAAACTCGTAAGATAGTGTTGGATTTATCAAGTCAAATCAGACTTTTCGAGCTTTGGATGTCAGTGAGGTAGACCGCTAAAGTAAATTTAAAAAATCTAAATCTCCTTTTTTTTTTTAAAAAAAATCTGTTTAAAATTCGCTTACATGTCACAATAATACTTATGTGTGGCTTACGTGGCACGATACTTGACTTAAAACTGGAATTCAAGTGTCGTTGTCTCGTGGCCTGAGTGCGAGACTGAATTTATTTATTAGCGATAGTATGATATGATACTACACCCAAATAGGTAAATTTTTTTATTATTATAACTGTGTATCACACGGGATTAACTTAGGGCCTGTTCACATTTACTTAATTTCAGTTCAGTTGAGTTGAGTTGAGTTCAGTTCAGCTCAGCTCCAATCAGTTCAGTTCAGTTCAGTTCAGCTCCAATCAGTTCATCTCTTAATTTCCCTCTCTCATAAAATATTCATTTCAACTTAGTCCAGTTTAGTTCATTTCAACTCCAATAAGTTCATTTCAGCTCAGTTCAGAAAATGTGAACAGACCCTTAGTTATGACTAAATTATTGATAGTTCAAAAGTTAGATTTTCGCGATTTCAATGTGATACGGTTAGGACATATAGTTTCAATTCTCAACACCTTTTTTATTTGGGCTCAACAATAAGAAAACGGTAGCAAGCCCAATTCTTAACAAAAATCTTTAAGTCACTCCCAAAAACAATATTCACAATTCTAATTTCCCAGAATTATAAAATCCCCATTAATTCCATAATTTCTTCTTCACTTCCATTTCAAACTCAGAAATCAATCATCAAATTTTTCTCAGAAAATCGAAAATCCCACCAAATTTGAAAGACTTTAGAGGGAGAAACAAAACTATGGCAGTAGAAGAGCTTGAGAAATCAATGGCGGCAACTGAGATTGAAGACAAGAGAGAAGACGATGATGATTTGGAGGAAGGCGAGATTATCGACGACAACTCAAATGCCGGAAAACCCAGCAAATCAATCGCAACAACTCATCCTCTTGAGAATGCTTGGACTTTTTGGTTCGATAATCCTGCTGCTAAATCCAAACAAGCTGCTTGGGGTAGCTCTATTCGACCCATTTACACTTTCTCTACTGTTGAAGAATTCTGGAGGTTTCTCTTTTTATCTTTCTTTTTCTATTTTTTTTTAATTTGATTGTGAATTTATTGAATTTGGTTTGTTTCAATCTTTTTGTGATGTGGGTGATTAAATTAGGGTTTTGATTTCGTTTTCTTGGAGAAATTTGATGTGGGTGACTGAAAATCTTTTGGGTGATTTTATTTAGTTTGATTTGTGTGTTGATTTCTTGATTAGCGTAGCAAATTGTTAATCATTAAGCTTTGATTAAGAAAACGGGAGTGTTGAATTTGTGAATTAGGGTTAATGGTTTGATTGGTTTCTATGAACAACTCGATTTCTGTGGGTATTTGATAGGATGAATAAGGGTTTCTTGCGAAATATACGGATTTTCCTGTAAGATGATGATAATATTTGGAAAGAGGGGGGGGGGGGTGGAGAGAAGAGGAGGGAAGAGAAGGCTTTAGGTATTTCATACAGATTGAATTTGCTTACCGGTAATGGTGAAGAACCATTCGTTACCGGGTTTTTGAATTTACTTGCAAGACCATATCATGGGTCTATCGGACCTTTAAAGTGACACTACTTAGGAATTATTCATTGAATTGTGGCTGTTGATGAATATTCCGTTTCTGATATCAATATTACTGATGTTCCTATATTACTTTTTGCTCATCAAAGTGCGCAACTCATACCTTTTAAATACAGGGGGTGGATGAAGTAATAGAGGTTAAATAGTGTTAATTTGCAAAGTGGTTCATGTCATAGGTTATAAAGAATTGTCTTATGTCTTTACTATCGGCATGTGGCATATTAGATTGATATTGAGAAATCTGAACTTTTGTTTGAAATTTTTTTTAGAATGAAAACAAGAGTTAGCAGCAATTTGAACATGTTGTAGAAATTAAAGTTTATTATTTCTAATTATATGATTAAGATATATCCTGAATGCGATTTCACTTAAGTCAGAGCTAGAGACTTTCTTGTTGGACTATACGAGTACCAAATTCATTTAAGTAGTAGCTAAAAACGGAGCTGGTGTGCATCTCATAACATTAATGTGAGTTGTGACCTTCATGCTGTAAATATTTACATCCTGAAGCCATTTTAATACTTGAAATATTCTGGTGCTGTGCCTTTTCCTTGATATCTTGTTTTACTGATTTGCATGGCCAGCAATGAGCATTGAAGTAGATGTTCATCTGTATAAACATATAGCATGTGTTGTGAAGGAGTTGTATTACGTTGAACTTTCCTTTTTATTATGATTGAATGACTCCTAGATGTTTCCTTTTGTTGTTCCTTGAGTGATTTACACTTTATACTGTCTGCTTCCTATACCTCATATATCTGTGTCATATTTTTTTTATGCTGTAAGGCATGTGCATGAGTCAATCAATTCCTCAAGGAAAAAGAGATAGAGGTGGGGAGGGGGGTATTCTAACCATTTTTAATAACTTTTGGCTAGATGTTGTGTATAGTAGCACTTTTGCATACTTCCTCAGTTCTGTTAATATTGCAACAAGGAGGAAATTACGCATCCTGAAACACCTTTTATATGCTAAATATCTATAATTGTGTAAGAGTAAAAATTATAAAAAGTTGATATTGTGAAAGTATTTTATGAGACGAATCCAACAAGATCCCACTTGACTATATTTTGCTTAACGTATAACTCATATTATATTGTCAAACAAGAGTGATGAATAGTGCAAAAAGTCCATTGTTGCAATATTAATAGAACGGAGGAAGTATATGCTTACCGAATACTGATATTCCTCCTGCTACTTTTTTCTGTGCCTAAGTTTGACGTATGCAAATATATCAAAATCATAGATCTTTGCATTTGTTTGCCAGATTTGGAACATCTCTGAGTCTGGAGATTCTGCTATTTTTTTTTCATTGCCTTTCTTAATTTATGACCTTCAACAATCAGCTAATGTTTGTATGATTTTTTTCCCCATTTCAGCCTTTACAACAACATACGCCATCCAAGCAAATTGGCGCCAGGGGCAGATTTTCACTGTTTCAAGAATAAAATTGAGCCTAAATGGGAGGATCCAATCTGTGCTAACGGGGGCAAGTGGACTGTTACCTTCCCAAGAGGAAAATCCGATACATCCTGGCTCTACACGGTATACTTTGAGAACCTGTTACAGTTTTTTTAAAATGCATATTTCTATATTGCTTCTGACCTAGGTGATTGATTTCCAGCTGCTGGCGATGATTGGAGAGCAATTTGATCATGGAGATGAGATATGTGGAGCAGTTGTCAATGTTAGGGCTAGGCAAGATAAAATATCCATATGGACCAAGAATGCTGCCAACGAATCTGCTCAGGTATGTCTATGCTTCTATGGCTGCACATATATATTCCTTATACTCTCTTTAATTTTCACAACACATGTGCTGGCTTAAAAGTTAGTTCTATAGTTATTGAGGAAAATTCCCTTTTACCGTGCCATAATTGTGCTTGCTGTATATTAATAGTTTGATTTTATTGAATTGGCATATTCTTAATCTCTCCTTTCCTATTTTCTTGGCTTCTTAATATTTCCTTGGGGCTGCATTCATTATTTTCTAACAATTCTATTTCTTATAATCTTTTTCTAAATTTCTTACCTTTGTTCTTTTCTCTTACTCTGTTTCCTCTACATTTGTTCTTTAACTTTCTGCAAATTTTTACATATGCGTCTCCTATTTGCAGCAAATTTGAGCGTTAAGAATTCATGATCATGAGACTTATTGGGTGCTTCTGAGAATGATTCAGTACTTACAATATATAAATTATATAATAATTAATGTTTTTTTTAATTCTTAAGTATTTCCTAATAATATCCACTGTCAACCCCCATTTGTTGATGTTTTGACGTTTTGTATCTGTTTTCGGATCATCTAAACTTCTGTTTTATTGCCACAGCTGAGCATTGGAAAACAGTGGAAAATGTTCCTTGATTACAATGAAACTATGGGATTCATATTTCATGTAAGTTGTATTTCTGTTTTTACAGTTTCTGTATCCCTCTTGTATATCTTCTGCTTAAATGACGGCTTAATGTGTACTTTCAGGATGATGCTAAGAAACACGACAGGGGTGCCAAGAATCGTTACACTTGTTGAGCTGTATAGGTGCTGTAATGGGAAGGCTTGAGAAAGCTGCTGCTTGGAGCTGGAATGCTGATTCTAGTCTTTTTGATGTAGTTCTGTTACTGAATTTCTTTTTTGATTCTAATGAAAATCTTTATTGTACTCTTGAGCTTACAAAATCTAAAGATACATGCTTATATTTTATCTGATGGGTGTTAGCATTTTAGTTAAGCCCCTTAGCTTGTATTGTATGTTCTCTCTATGATTCTTGGTTATTATGTCCAATATACTGTCAAATCATTTCATTTATTTTGCTTTTTGCTCCTTCCTGGAATCGATTAGCAGAAATTAAGCAAGCAATCACCATAATCTTAAGATTAAGGTAACGTTAGAACATAGATAAATGAGACCGTTATAAAAATATAGACTTGAGAGGTAACAAAAGCTCCAATTTTATGTACTTGGCTGACAAAATTGCTAACAAAAGAATCCTCTCGTGGAACTCGTGCAATCTCGTCAAAAATGGTTTTGATTGCGATGGCAGCTCATGTGGTGAATAGCTTCCAGAAGTATTGTCTCACAAATTGAGAGCTTGATTTTAATTTCTTATGGGGAAATAAGGGAAGCAAGGAGATACATTGGGTGAGGAAAGAGAGAGTTCAGCTCCCTCGTGGTTTGGGGGGCTTAGGGGTGAGAAATGTGGCTGTCCTCGATGATACACTGCTAATGAAACAATCATGGAGAATGCACAGCAACCCGCAGTTGCTAGTGACGATAAATTTCTCAACAAAGGGTGTTTCTATGCTAAAGACTGGTAAGGTTCAACGGTTTAAGAGTACAAGTATGTCTGGGGGATGCGAGGTGTACGAAGAAGTGAAATAAAATTTAAAAATGGCCATGCATGGAAGGTTGGGAATGGTGGGAAAATTTGTGTTTTTAGGGATAAGTAGGTTAATGGCAAAGTACCTGAAGCTAAATCGGATGTCACCTTGAGACAAGCTATGGTCTGGAAGGTTGAAAGGTTCATTAACAAAGAAAGGTTCCTGGACTTGGAAAAATAGAGAGCTAAGAGAGGCTTTCGGCGCTGAGGATGCTGTGGAAATTGGGGCTTTGGAATTACCAGGGAAGGAGATAGAAGACCTTCAACACTGGAATCATACAAACTCAGGGAAGTTTACAACAAAGTAGGGGTATGCCTTCCTCATGAGCCAGCTAGGCAGCTAGCGACATTGATAGAATTACAAAGTTAGAGGTAAAATTCTTAATATTCTTTTGGCAGCAAAAACTTGTACCCAAATGGAAATTTTTTCGGGAAATTTTTATATAATGGACTAGCTGTTAGAAGTAATCTACACTTTCGTAGTATTTGTGAAAAAGATGTCTTTGATGTATGTGGAGAAGAGGATGAATGATTTATATCTTCGTCAAGTGCAATTACTAGATACATATTGGATTAAACTATGGAGATAATTAAATTTGTCCATTTAAGTAGTCGTTATATCATATCTAGAGGTGCCAATTATCTTTGGGATAGTAAAACAGGCCAAAACCCAATTAGACGGGTCATATAAGGTCACACAAAGGGTCTACATTGAGCATAAGAGGAAGAGACCCATGATGGGCCTTCTCCCTCTAGGTGGCCAGCCATAGGAAGGAGTTTAGGTGGATTGATTTGCTTTCTAGTCTAGTTATAATATGATTATAAACAAACTAGGTGTCTAGGGTTAAACACAACATTCAGTGATCATCAGATCAAACCTTAATCAGCAAACACAAGCTAATCCTTCTCATACTCTCTCTCTCTCTCTCTCTCTCTCTCTCTCTCTCTCTCTCTCTCTCTCACTCTTGTCCGTCTCTCTCCACTTGCGCTGGTGGTGTGTACGGTGGTGGTGGTGGTGGTTTTTGGTGGTGACCGGTTGTCCGCAAAGGGGGTGATCGTCGTTTTCCTCCTAAACTCAACCAATCAATACTGGTGGACGATCCATTCGAATCCCGTGGACTAAGTAGAGAAATCACGCTTGGGACTCTATTCTTTCCCTAATTTGTCGATCGAACAGCTAGGTGAACATCACGCTTCAAAGATATAATTATGTGATTCTTGTGTGTTATGCATTTAGTTGCGTATGAATATAATTAATGAAATTTCAGTTATAGTACCTAAAGTCCCACAGTGGTATCATTTAGTCTCTTGCATGAACACGCTTGATTATAATAATACGATTATTTGAAGTCCCTGTTCATAATTTTATAATCAATTAAGAGAAAGAATTAATTTAATTATGGTTCAATTATTATTTTAAATGTGATTTAACTCTTGAAATCAATTAAATGCGATTGAATTATGCTCAAAATAGCCATGAACAGGACTGAAATTTAGCCCTAAATTGTTTGAAAATTTCGAACCCTAACCCTTTTAATTTCGGAATGTTCAAAATTCATAACACTAAATTTTGATTTTTGTGCTTGTTTTTGGTTAAATTTGAATTGTTTCATGTCTTATAATTTTATTTGGAATTGATTCATGCATAAAAATGTTTTGTGTATGATCATCAATATTTGATTTTAAGAGTTAGAATTAAATTGGGAGTAATTTTTATGTTGAACCATAATTTAAAAATTGAATAGAGAATTAATTTAATTAATTGGACTAATTTAATTTAATTTAATTTTAGCAAATTTTTTTTGATTAAATTAAAAATTAAAAAAAAGGAAATTAATTAAGGTGGCCAGCAGCCACAGTTGGATGGTACAGCCACGATGGTTGCTGACCGGGGTCAATCCAACAAAGAAGGGAGGGTGGGCAGGTGGTCCGAGGTGGCTAAGCAGCAGAGTGCAAGCGTTGCACACGGCTGCCGTTGTTGATGTTGTTGTTGCTGCTGCTTTGCGCGGTAGTGGTTATTGAAACGTAGCCAACCACAGTGGCTAGCCTAGGCTGGCCACACACGTTGACCTGCAGCCTCGGAACAACTGCTGCTCACTACTGCCCTTGCGGAAATGGCCGCGTAAAGTAACCACCATGGCTAGCTTCGGCTTGCCAACCACGATGGCCGGCGTGTGGCATAGTTTTAAAAAAAATATTACTTTGTTTTAAAATTATTTTCAAGATAAAATCAGATTTTATTTTGGGATAAAATCAAATTTTAAAAGTTGTTAAATTGGTAATTATCCATAATTAAAGTGGTTAATTTTGTATAAAATTTGTTAGGATATTCTAAGCATATTACAAAAGGATAATCATTGATTTAAATAATGTGATTATCCCATTGAATTAGGATATAGTTGATTTTAAAATTATTTTATTGGCTAATAATTAGGATAGAATCTCCTAAAATTGTTAGGACAATCATGGAAAAATAAAATATGATTTATCTTTCCATAGTAAAATATGATTTTATTCAATCTCATGCCATATTTAAAATATATGTAATTTTATAGATGACAATAAATAATATATGATTTTATCTAATTATGATTTAAAATATGAGATATTTCGGGAACTGTGTTGCCTTAATAATTATGAACATTCAATGTCGTAGTTTATGTTGGGTTTCGTGATGTCCAACATCACGCTAAACAAAAACCCATCCCAAGACCCGCATACAAATCAAAACAACTAACACATGCATATTAATTAGCTACTACATAATTAATTAACAATAGAGAGAAAGACGGATATACCCTTGACGCTTGTTTAGCTCAACTCGAGCTCTTACTTGAAAGCTTACAAACCATCGCACTCGCGATAGCCTCCGATGGCTATCACCCTCGAGACCTGACCCGAACGGAACCTACCTCGCAGCTTGGTTGGGGCTAGACCAAAAAACTTAGAGTATTAGAAAGAAAGTGTTCTCGCTTGTGGATATCCTTTCAAGTTCACTACTCAAGTGAATTTCCCAATTCTTAATGATGGGTATTTATAGGGAAATCCCCTCAAGAATTCCAATCCCCCATCAATGTGGGAGAGTTGGTAAAATGTCTTTTTACAATTTAATTTTAATTCAAAAATCTATTAAAAAGCAAAAAAATCAACAATCAACAAGTGTCGCATGGTGACTAAGGGAGTAGGTAAGGACCACAAGGAGGACCACATGGTCTCCTTGCTCCCCAAGCCAAGCTCACACAAACCGGCTCTCCACACACGCGGAAAATGGCACCGCACCAGCTGGTATGGGGCTTGCTGCCTTGGGCGCCAAGCCTGCCTCGCTGGTGGCCTTACCTTCCTTTACCGGGTCTTCCAGCTAGTCGCACGTAGAGCTGTCAATTCGGGCTCAGGTCGGGTTTGAGTCGGGTTAGTGTGAGTCGGGTCATCTCGAGTCGGGTCAATATGGGTTAATGTCATAACATATGCGGGTCAGGTTCGGGTTGTGTCATGCTTGAGTCGGGTCATGTCAGGGCAAACATCTTATCGGGTTTGGGTCGGGTTAATAAAAGGTCAGGTTACATTCAAGTCGGGTGAAAAATAGGTTGGGTTAAATTAAGGTCTTTACGGGTTTAAACGAGTTAGGGTCGTTCTCGGGTAAGAGTCGGGTTCGGTTCAAGTCAATTATAAGGGTTATAATCAGGTCGGGTCATTCTCGGGTTCAAGTCGGGTTCGGTTCAAGTCAATAATTTGCAGGTTATAACCAAATCGGGTCATTTCCAAGTCGGGTCATTCAAGGGTTCGAGTCGAGTTCGGTTCAAGTCAATAATTTGCGGAAAAATGTTTCATCCCTAAAATTCGTCCCTAAAAACATGTTGTGAAACTAACCTCTTAAAATTCAAAGTGAAATATTGAAGGAATAGAGTTAGGACTCAATTTCCGTTCCAATACCAACATGAGATAACGACCTATGCATAATTATTCGATAACAAGTCGGGTTGAATTTGGGTCAGGTCAATAACAAGTCGGGTTGATTCGGGCCGGGTTTGTAACAGGTCGGGTTGAAATTTGAGTAAGGTTTGTAGCAGGTCGGGTTAAATTCAGGTCTGGTTAGGAACAGGTCGGGTTGAATTCGGGTCGGGTTACGAACATGTCGGGTTGAATTTGGGTTTTGACGGGTTAAAACGGGTTTGGATCAATTTCGGTTCAGGTCGGGTTCGATTTAGGTCAATAATTTACGGGTTACATTCGGGTCGGGTCGTCTCTAGGTCGGTTAATGTTCGGGTTCGGGTCTCAAATACTCGGGTTAACTCGGGTCTAAGGCTGGTTTCAGGTCGGGTTCGGGACACCATTTTTTTCGGGTTCAGACGGGTCGGTTAATAGGTCAGGTTAGGGTCAGTATTTCGGGTCAGGTCAGCTTTTGACAGCTCTAGTCGCACGCATTGGAAAC